GACGCGGCCCAGGCTCACGGCGGCCTTTCCAAAGTAGGCGGCGAGCGCGTTTGCTGTTGGAGGTTCGAATCCGATGCACTCGAGGGCTGCTCGTCGCTCAAAGACTGCTTGGAGGCTGGCTCGCAGCTGCGGCGCCTGCAGCGCTTGCAGCGCTTGGAGCGCTTGAGGTGCGCGTGGGCTAAGGGCCCGCAGGGCTGAGTTGAGGAGGTTCCTGGGGTGTTGAGGAAAGGGAGGATTTCTTTGGGTGGAAAGGTTGATGAGTTAGGTATAAGTGGCAAGTGTCAGGTGTGAGTCACGGGTGGCAAGTGCGGAGTGCGTGCAAAACACGGCTGTGGGAGTGTCGCATGTGGGGCGCGGAGGCAAGCCGGAAGGCAGAAGCAACGGCAGCCAGGGCAACAACGCCCGTGTCGTCAAAGGGGCGCGTGCTCCAGGGTCTGCAGCGCGAGCAGAGCGCCGCGCCGCGAGCGGCCCCGCCCATCGTCCCACCTGCCCTTGCCGAGCTTGCCGCCCCACGCCGCCGCCTCTGCAGCGTCAAACGCGTCATTGCTGAAGAACGGGGTCCCATCCGGTGTGCAGAGCCTTGAGTGTTTGCGATGGTTGCATGGATGGGAGTTACCACAGGCCACGTTTGCGGCTGCGTGAGGGCCGCCCCCGTCGGCTTCTTGGGGCGCCCGTTCCGCCCGCCGGCCGTCAGCCAGGCCAAGGCCAGGGCGCGGGTCTCAGCCCGCCTCATGCCACCGAACACACCACGTGGACCTGCGCAGCCCCGGGCCTGCTGCACACGTGGCGCTGGCCCGCGCCCTCCAAACACACAGGAGTGTCATCGAGCTTTCCCGACCGCTGCACTCACGCATGAGCCATCGCGATGTCGCGCCTCAGCCGCCCCTCCTCTCGGGAGGTAGCGACGCCGTTGATGGTGTGCGTCACCCACGCCGCCGTCTGCGCGAGGGCCGCCGCCGCGGCCGCGTTCGGCGCCAGGGAAGCCAAGCAGCCGCCGTCCCTGCTCGCAGCTCTGGTGTCAACTCTGGCATCGACCCTGGCGTTGGCATGGGCGGCGGCGGCGTCCGTTGCGGCGGCACCTGCGCTCCCCACGATCCTCAGACGAAGCACCGGCGGCGGCTGCAGGCCCCCCGCCTCTTCGGCGTCCGCCTCCTGCTCCTCCTCCGCCGCTCGCGCCGCCGGGGTTCTTTGGTCGAGCCGCCGTTGGCAGGTGCAGGAGCGGCCGAAGCAGTCAGGGCCCCCTGCAAGGTCTTGTAGCTCAGAGTGGGCTCGCCGGCTCACACGCCGGGTGCTGCCCCAGCACAGCAGAATGTCCGATGCGCCGTCGCCGCCGGCCGCAGCGCTGCAGGCGCAGCCGTCCGCTGCACCAGCAACGCCGCGGGCGCTCAAGGGGGCCGCCACGGTTGCGGCCCGACACGCGGCGCCGCCGCTGGCCGCATGCGCCCCTGCCGCCGCCGCCCGCCCCATCCCGCTGGGGGCGCCCCTGGGCGCTCCCGCCCGCTCGGCCGCGGCGTCCGCCTCCGCCTCCCTCCACCCTTGAAACAGCGCCAACGCCTGCTTCAAATCGTCCCACGCCGCCGCCGCTGCCCCTTGGCTACCATCTCCCTGCGGTGCGGAGGCCTCCCGCGAAAAGGCAGCGTGGTCGCAGCCGAAGCCCCACGGAGTCAGTTCACTGAGATCCCCCGCCGCCGCCGCTGTCACCGCCAGCGAGGAGGGGCACGCGGCGGCGCCGGGCTCGGCTCCGGGCGGCCAGTCGCGGAGGGACGCGTCGGCGCGAGAGGCCGAGAGGCGGGCGCGGGCCAGAAAGTTGTGAACGATCTGGGCGTGGCGGCGGGCAAGGGGCGGGGGCGGGGCGACTTTCATCAGGCTGATGGGTCGGGGTGTTGAGCTGTCGTAGGCTGGCCTGCAGCAGCAAACATGCCTTACGAACCCAACGGTCTGTCAGCCCAGCTGTTTCGCACAACTCGCAAAGGACATACCGCCAAAGCACACGCGGCTGCACGGTGCACCCCCGAGCGCCCGGCACTTGAGAGCCCGCTGCTCCTCTTTGCCCCCACCTGCTCGACCGGGCCCCCACTCCTGGACAGCAGCGCAGCCAGTGCAGGCCCCGGCCCCAGCCCCGGGCCCGCGGCGCCCGCCGGCTGCAGCAGCTGCTGCTCTCGCGCGCGCTCCGACTGGTGGGCAGCTGCGAGAAGCTGGAGGGCCTCGATGATATCAGCGGTGGCTGGTGGCGCGCTGCAAGCGTTGAGCAGCAGCCTGCAGAGGCGCCAGTGGTTTGGGTCGCATGGAGGCATGTGAAGGGCGCAAAGATGGGAGTGTGGTGGCTGCGGCAACACGATAAGGACTCGGAGTAAAGCGGTCTGGAGGCATGCATGATTTAAACCTGCAAAGCGGGGCGCAGGTCTGCCGTGACTGCGCCACCGGCCAAGACTGGCGGCGAAGTTTTCGAGGCGCACCCGTCTTGGTTTGTGCGCAGCCAGCAGCGAGCGGCGCTCGCCAGGCCCTAGGAAAACGCGTCCGCCTGGAGTATGATGTCACACACGCCCGCCAGCTGCGGCTGCGGGGCAAGAGGGCGCCGGAGGGGGACTCAGCCTTTCCGTCGCCCGGCCGCTCGGCGCCGTCCGCGTCGCGGCAGCGGGGGCAAAGCAGAGCACACAGCAGCCTCACAGCACACCACGAAGACGCGCTAGCAGCGCCAAGGGGCCGCTGGGGCGCGCGGCCAGCGCACCGCACTGGCCGCCGTGCGCAGCAGCCTCAGTAGGCTGTCGAGGGTTGCAGCGTAGAGCTCTGTCGTGAACACCGCCAGGTCAGACAGCGCCTCCAGGACGGCCTGTTGGGGGGTGTTAGAAATGGAGGGACATTGTCGGACATTTGAGTGCGGCACATGCAGTGCTGCCGAGGCGTCACGTCTTCTCTGTTCGTTCTGGTCTGACAAGGGGCGCCATGCAGGCAGGCGCTGCTCAACTAGCTGCCTGTCAGTCAAGCCATGGATAGCGCGGGGCCTGTGCCATTTTGTGTCAACGCTCAACAACAACTGGCTTACTAGCCGTTGCCGCGAGCACATCACCTGCTGCAGGCACCCTCTCACATACACACACACACATGCATACGTCCGCGCACACATACACATATACAAACAACCCGTCGACATGCACACGCAACTGTCCCACAGCCACACAACAACGCACCGTCACGATCCCTCCCCCTCCCGCAGGCTTGCACCCAAAGCCCCCACCACAACACACGCGTGCATGCACATGTGCGCCCTCATTACGCGTTCACGCGCACAAACCCACCTCTCCCACACGCATCCACTTTGCCGCGTCCCGCTCCAGCGCCTCTCGCAGCTCTGCGGCCGCGCAGCGCAGCGGCGCCTCCCAGTCTGCGCGCCGCCCCGTCGCGGTCGCCGCGAGCGCGCCTGCGCGGGCGCAGAAGTCTCCGCGCATGAGCTGCTGCGCCCTGAGGCTGAGCGCCCACACGCCCTCCTTCCGCAGGTCCTACGGCGGAATGATTGACTGAATGTGAAGAAGAAAAAAGCATAATTGAATGAATAGGGGAGCAAGCCAGGTCGGACGATGGGCCTCGGCGCAGGGGTGCGCGGGATGGGGGGGGGGGCGGGCCAGAGGTGCCACGTGGTGCACAGGTGGCTTAAATTCGGAAAGAAAAGCAGCCGGCGCTGCAGGCAGGCAGGACATGCCCACTTCCCGGCGCACGCCGCCTAATGTCCACCGCCCACGGCATATTGAAGGAACACATGTTCAGCACCAAACAGGGGCACCGCCCCCCACGGCCCGCCTACCTGCAGGCACAGCCACGCCCTCCTGGCGCGCCCGTGCGCCTCGCCCACGGCCCGCATGTCTGACAGCAGCCGCAGCGCGTCCCCCGCGTGGGCCGCCGCGGGCCCCGCGCCGCGAGGCAGTTGCGGCTCCCCCCGCTGCGCCGCGCCGCGCGAGGCTGCGCCCCTGACGCCACTGCCGCCGTGCGCCTGGCTCCCGCGGCCCTCGCCGGCGGCGTGCTGGGCGCTCAGCCACTGGTGAGAGTCCTCAGACAGGGCAGCATCCAGCCCCAGCGCCCGGGCGGCCGACGCCGCTCTCTCAGCTAAGCCGCGGCACCACTCCTCCGCCGCGCGCCTCAGGGACGCTTCGCCGTCGTCCCGGTCAAGAAGCTGCTCGGCAACTTCCTCTGCTTGAAGAAATGCCAGGCTGCGCACGCTCCGGCTGACGAGGCCGCATCGCATGCGTACGGTGCGTGCCGCGGCGCTGATCTGCGGCGATTGAGTGAATTTGTGTGGTGTGTTGGTGGACACTAGCAGCGAGATGAAGAGGTGAGAGCAGTGATGTGTTGCCAGCCACAGCACGCATGCGGTGCTGAATGGGCCGTCTCTGCAGCCGGTGGGCAGCCTGGTGGTCACAACCTGCACGCATAACCAAGGCCTGCAATAACCCAGGCACGCTGCCAGCACGTCCCATCTCACGTCACATGCTGCGGCCTCCATGTAGGTCGCCAGCTCAGCTGCAGCCACCGCCGCATCCGCGGCCACTGCATCTGCTTTCTCCGCCGCTGCGCCGGCCGCGCCGCCCATCAGTGGGGTGCCCCTGCATGGTGCTCGCTGACCCTGCGGCAGCTGGTGCTGGTGGTGACTGGACTGCTGCTGCTGCTGCTGCTGCTGCTGCTGCTGCTGCTGCTGCTGCTGCTGCTGCTGCTGCTGCTGCTGCTGCTGTGCAGCCACCGCTGGCCGCTGCCGCGCCAGTAGGGCGCAGATCTGGTACCAAAGCCCACGCACCTGCTCTCGCACTGCTACCGGCCCCCCTGCGTGCGCCTGCGCTTGAAGCAGCGGCTGCAGAATCCGGTGTGCCGCCCGCGCGTGGGGCCACCAGCAGCACAGACACAGCACAGCCGCGGCCTCCACGGCTGGGACCACGTCGCCGGCATTGAAAACCTGTGGCGCACCTTTTCGCCCGGCGCCAGCCCCCCCTGCCAGCCACCCGCTTGGGTCGAAATTGCCAGCCAGCTCCCCGACGGCCCGCAGCCGCGGCAGCGGCGTCCGCGCCTCACCGTGTCCGGCTGCGGCGCCGTCGTTGGGCTCGACAGAGTCGCCGGCGCCGGCGCCGGCGCGAGGAGCGGCCGACGTCAGCGTCGGCCCCCAGCTCTGCATATCCACCTCTGGCACATCACCTTTGTCCTCCTCTTCATCCACCTCAAATTCCCCAGCACCGTCCTCCCAGTCCCCGCCGCTGCCAGCCCCAGCGCTTTGGCCGGATCGAGAGAGGCGGTCACCTGCGTCAGCCCAGCTGGCGCCCGCCCCGCCAGACCTCCAGGGGCCCAAGCCGCTGCCGAGCATGGGACCGCGGCGCCCCTCGTCTGCCGACGCACCCTCGTCGCCCGGCCCCTGCTCGCCGAAGCTGCAGCCGCGGCCGCCCTCTGCCGCCGCTGGTCCAACGGTCGCCGCCGCGGCCGCCGTCCGTGCTGCCGGCACCGTTGCAGCCGCTGCAGCCGTGGGCTGGCAGTCTTGAGAAATGACAGACATGTGGCCCCAACGCGCCCGCGGGCGCCGGACAGCCTCATGCAAGGGTGCAGCCGCTTCAGTTGGCGCCGAGACCGCCTCCTGATCGCGGCAGCGCCGCGCCCTGGGCTCGTCATCCTCCCCCGGGCCCTTGAAGCCGGTGTGCACTGTGCCCTGTCGGTGGTGCCAACGATCGCAGCCCGGCCCCGCCTCAACGTCGGCGTCGCATTCATCAGACCCACCGCCCCAGGCGCCACCGCTGCCGTCGTCGCTGGCGCCGCCGCCGCCGCCACCTTGCTGCCAGCTGGGCCGGCCGGTCTGACAGGCTACGCTGTGGCCGTTGCCCTGCTGCGCGTGCTGCGCGATAGCGGGGGTCCCCGGCCGAGGCGCACGGAGGGCCGCACACCCGGCCCGCCAGCTGGGCGCCGCCACGTCGCCCGCGCCTAGTGGGCCATCCATCGCAGCGCAGCAACGGCTGCCGCTGCCTGCGACTGGCGCTTGCGACCCAGCGGCGGCCCCGCACGCACCGACGTCGCAGGTGCGGCCGCCGGTCGAGCCTTCGGCGCTGCAGCGAGGCGCGCCTTGGTCCCGCCGCCGCGCCATTGGCGGCGCCGTGGCGCCCTCGCCATCGGCAGGAGGGGCGTCCTCAATAGCGAGCAGCCCGCTGGTCGCGAGGTCAAGGACAGCCTGCACTGCGCGTTTCCGTGCGTCCGGTGGCAGCTCCTCCGCCAACGCGCTGTCGCCGCCCAGCACCACCTGCACAACCACCGCCAGCTGAACGCCGGTCAGGCCGGCGCGCCGCAGCCGGCCCTCCAGGAACTCGAGCGCCACGTCGCCCTCAGGCGCGCCGAGCGTCAGCACGTCGCTCAGCGCGATCAACGTGGCAACAAGCAGCCGCAAAGCGGCGTCCCCACACAGCTGCCCCTCTCCTGCCTCCTCCCCCTGCCCGGTCTGCGCCTGCTGCTGCTCGTCCTCGCAGCCCTGCCCTGGCAGCTGGATCTCATTGAGCCCGCCCTCGTCAGCATGATCGTCATCACTGCCAGTCCCCTGTTCAGCTACGCTCCTTCTGTAAGCGTCGGCGCCGGCCATCCCCGCCGGCTGCCGCAGGGCCCCCCACGCGTAGGGACCTCCCGGCCGCGCGCACCCCTCACGGCTGCCCACAGGGCGCTCGCTGCAGGAGCGCTCCCCACGCGCCGCGCGCGCGCGGGCGAGCCGCTGCTCCTCGGCCGTGCAGGCGCCCTCGAGCCGCACTATCGCGATCATCAGCCGCACAAACGGCGCGTCCTCGCCGAGCACGCCCTGCTCGCCGCCGCCGCGCCGGCCGCGCGTGCCCGGCGGCCGCGCTGCGTCACGCGCCGCCGCCCTGGCATCAGCCAGCGCGCCCTCAAGGGTGACGCTCGCCTTGCCCGCAGACCCAGGGATGTCGAGCACAGCGCTGCCGTCTCCGCCATTCAGCTCCAGCAGCTGCGCAGCCGCCGCCTCCGCACGCCGCAGGTCGGCGGCTGCGCTTGCGGGCAGGTCAAGCTGGGAGCCGGCCGAGCGCGCGCCTGTGCAGCGCTCGGCGGCGCCGCGCTGTCCGGGCCGCGCGGCCGCCGCATGCTGCCCCACCTGCTGGGCGAGGCCGAGAGCCAGCAGGCGCGGCCTAGCTGCCCACAGCGCCTGCAGCCAGCCACCGATGGCGTCAGCCAGCGGCGTGCCGGGTGGGCACCGCACGCCCAGGCCGCCAGGCGGCTGTGGGGCGGCCAGCTCTGGCAGGCGGCGCAGCAGCGTTTTCTGCCGCCGCTGCAGCAGCGTCAGGGCAGGGCGCAGCGTTTGTAAAGGGATACGGGCAGCGAGGCAGTCGCGGTGCAGCTGCGCCATCAGGCCGCCAGTCAGCACCTCCAGTGTCACCCCCAGGCGGGCCAGGGACTCCTCTTGCCGCCGCCGCGGCTGCTGCTGCTGCTGCTGCTGCTGCTGGCCCAAACTGCCCTGGGCCTGTCGGTGCTCCCGCCGCTGGTTGTGTGTTTCTGGTTCGGCTGTGTTGCCCCAAGGGCACTCAGGGCCAACGCAATCGTCGCCGACTGCACTGGTAGCACAGCAGCCGCCAACAGCTGCCGACAGCAGCGCCCCCAGCTGCGCCAGGGTCTTGGGCGGTGGCTGAAGCGGCGCGTCGGCGCCTCCTTGGGCGCCTGCGGTGGCCCAGGCGGACTGCAGCAGCCGCCAGAGGGGCTCCAGCAGCGGCAGGCCAAAGGCGTTGGCTAGGCGGCCGACTGCGGGCGCCGCCAGCTGCTCGTGGTGGTGCAGGCGCCTCAGGGCAGACAGGGCCTTGCTCTGCGGTCGGTTGGGGGCAAAGTATTCATTAGTGGGTAGGGGCGATGAATATGTTGTGTGTGTATGTGTGTGTGTGTGTGTGTGTGTGCGCGCGCGTGTGTGTGCATGAGCGCTATTGAGTGGGCGTGCCCACACATCCATGCTTGCGCATGCGAGCATTCCATGCTTGCGCATGGGAGCATTCCATGCTTGCGCATGGGAGCACAGGGTGCGAAAAAGTAAGATTGCTCGGTGGGTCGCATGACGGACAAGCAGGTGGCCATGCAGGCGCCCAGGTGTCCAAGTCCGCACCGAAAGACTGCCGCATGCCACGACAAACAGTAGCGCCCCCGCCCCCGCGACGACCACCCGTCCTCTCTCTAGCCCCCAAGCACACCATCTCATCTTGTGTCTGGCCATGCTTGACAAAGAGCAGCTCGCCAGGTCCCATGCGTTGCTGCCCACTTCTGTCGCCAGGCATCACACCATTTTCGCCAGTATCTGGCGACGGCGAGCTCCTGGGGCTCGCGCCATCACCCAGGCCGCTTGAAAAATCTAAGAGCTCCTCGCTCTCTGGCAGCCACTTGCATGAGTGTGCGATGCGCGTCTCCAGCAGCAGCTGCGGCGGCAGCGCGCCGCGCGCCTCCGCGGCTGCGTGGATGCCGGCCAGCTGCGCCAGCGCCAGCAGCGCCGACGCATGCAGTGGCGTGTTGATGCCATCGGCGGCGCTGCCGCCGGCCGCTGCAGTAGCTGCAAATGGACGCCGCCTGATGCGCAGGGAGCGCAGGTTGCAGGAACTGAGTTGGGTTTCGCCGGGCTCCAAAGGTTGCATTCAGGTGCCAGGCCGTATCCCTTGCACAGGCTCAAGGATCCTGATGCAAACACTACAAGCATGCGGGCCTTCAACATGTTGCATGGCAGCAGCTGCTCTGGATGGGACGAGGATTGCTTGATGCTGCTGCTGCCAAAACCGTGCCCTGCTCACCCGTCGTCCGCACGGCGCTGTGGCGCCCACAGCGCTGCCAGTACGTCTGATATCAGCCACCATTGGTGCTGGGGCCTCAGGGACGCGAACAGCGGCTCGCAGCACGCCTCGCGGTATGGCCACGCGCCACAGCTGCCGCCCCCGCCGCCGCCTCCAGCGCTGCCATAGCCCGCTGCTGCCTCGGCCGAGGCGTAGAAGTGGCAGGTTGCTGCGTGCAGCAGCAGTCGCGCGACCGGCAGCCGCTCCAGATCAGGCAGCCCCAGTACGTGTGCGAGTCCGGGCTGAACGCCAGCGCGTGCAATTGCGGCGCAGCACCATTCATAGAGTAACCGCGGCTCATGCGAACAGGCGTGCACAACGGTTGAGGGGTCACGGTCCCAACCGCCCTCTTCAAACACGCTCGATGCACATTTGTCGGCGATTTCAGCGGCCTGAAGGCGCTCGAGACGGGCGACAATGGGCGCGCCTGCAAGGTGGGTGTAGGGCGTTGTATACTGTGTATAATGTGTGATGATGGCGGCAGCGAGCGCAGCGCGACCGGGCGGGACGAGTGGGCGCAGGCGGGACGACGCCTCGGCCTGAGGGCGCAGCGGTGGCGCCGCTGGGCTACGATCTGTCAGGCTCTGCAGAGCACCCCACCCACCGTCCTGGAGAGCCCTGAGCCACGCAGCTTGCAGCTCAGGGTCCGTGTAGAGCGTTTGCACGTGCCGTGACAGCAGATCGGCAACGAATCCCATTATATTTGATTATCTAACGCCTGGATAGCAAGCTTCAGGCTATATATTGGCCCGAGATTTGATCTACTGCGCGGGACAACCTGCTGAGACGCTTCCTAGACGGGATGCTTCCCATATTGACGTGTCCATTGTTGAAAGTGCACTGCGCACACACAGTCTGCAGTACGTTTGTCGTGACTGCCTTGCTGCATTGCCGCAGTGGCAACCGCCGTGAACCGCCGGTAGCAATTGTGTGACGCAGCTGACGCATGCCCACTGTCCCGGATGACTCTGCTGAACGACCTTATTGCAACTTGGTCTGTTGAAGCGTGAGTGTTCATCTGTTTTCAAGCCTTGTTACAATGCAGATAAGATGCAGATGCCAAACGTCTCAGGCTTCTTTCAGCCTGCCAGGGGCGGGTGGCCTAGAAAGCGTTTCGAGCGTCCGGTGTGAAGGCTGGTTCAGCCTGCAAGCGATGCTTCACGCAATGCTTGGACAACGCAACAGTGGGTTGCAGATGAATCATTGATATAGGCCTTGGTAACTGTCAATAACCCGTGGCAGAAGGCCAGGCAAGACGGGAGCTATGCCTGCATCACAAGCACTTGCTCTGCTCAGCATTCGGCTTGCTACCCTTGGGGCAGGGCACGCAGCCGGGGAAGCGGTGGGGGCGCTTGCTGCGATCGCCATCAAAGCTACCAAACGTTCCCATGCCAGGGGGGCCACCAAACGGCACTGCGGCGCCTGGCCCAGGTATAGCAATGGGACCTGGGCCACAGCCGCCCAGGGGGGGCAAAGCTGGTTGATGACCAGGAGCCTTGCCTCTCCTCTCCTGCACAGACGGCACATCCTTTGCAGCGGCGCTGTGAAGGAGAGGGATGAGAGATTTTGTGCTTGCAAGGCTAAAGAACGACAGGTTGAAGAGTGGGACCTTGAAAAAGGGCGAAGGGGGCTGGCTTGAGCTGCGGTTAGCCTTGTCGACGTCAGGACCCAGTGGGTGTCTGCCGGGCATGGGCACAACCACAGGAGTGGGCTTGCCGCCCTGACGCGCGTTGAAGGGGACGGTGAAGTTGAAGGGGCGGCCACCGATGTCAAAGGGCCCGGCAAAGGGGAAGGCAACGCCGAAGGGCCCAGGCGCGTCTGGGCCGGAGACGGTGCCGTCGGGGCAGCGTTGGCACTTGGAGGGTGTCGGGGCCTTGAAGGCGAACGCCGGGGCGCTTGCATTGAAGGCCGGCAACTGGGGCAGGGACAGTCCATATCCGGGTGCGCACACACTGAAAGTGGGTAGGCACGGGGGAAGCAGGGCACGTGGTGGCGGGTAAGGATAGCGAGGTGAATAAGTAGGGGATTCACACAAACGGCTTCAAGGCGTGGAAGCTGACGATGGGAATGGGTGGCCCCGAAACAGCCACCAGCTGGATCCCCAGCGCAAAATGCACGCGGAGCCAAGGCACAGGGCTAGCAGGAGGTTTATTTTCAATTTACTTGCAATATGTGCAAGAGGATGCCTCCTGTCACTCACCATACGCCGACGTCAATGAGGGCGTAGGCGGGTGCGGCGCAGGCGCTGCACTTGATGGGGACGAACGACGCGTTGAATGGAGGAGGAGGCATCATCATCGCCCCCAGGCGGCCGATGTTGGGCAGCTTTGGCACCATCTGCTGCGTTGCGCCGGCAAAGGGGCCGCCCTGGTGGACAAACGCCCCAGTGTTGTTGTGGCCGCGGCCGTGGGTGAGGTTGCGCTTGGCGCCACCTCCTGGAGTGCCGCGCCCGCCAACCAAGGGGTCGGCGCCGAAGAACTTGCCATGATTGGGGCGGGTGGTGGCATTCTTGCCGCTTGAGTGGCTGCCCATGATGCGCTTGTAGAGCGCACTGCCCGGGCCGCCCTGGTGCAAGGGCCCCTTGTGGTTGCTGTCGTTGCCGGGCCTGAAGCGCGCGTGGTCGAGCCTTGCAAAATCAGCAGTGAGGTTGAGCTCGCTGCAGGCTGTGCAACCCGGCATCCGGCTGCAGTCAAGGGCCAGGGTTGCCGGCGCCAGAAGGGTGGCGGCAGCGCCAAAGAGGACGAGCGCCGCCAGGGCGCGGCGGGATGGAGGCATTCCGCTGGTGCTGTGCGCGGCAGGAGCCGTACGGCACAGGGAGCGGCTTGCTGACCACGGCCTGCGCGCCAACAAGGAGGGAGGACATTGAGGTTAAGTCACGGCGCCTGTACACATGGTGTGGGCGGTGCTGGTTGGATCCACCGCGGCTCATGTGCCTGGCAGGCGGCAAAAGCCCAACCAACCCAACTGCATTGCCAGCGCACCTGCTGGGACGTCCAGGTACAGATGCTATCCCAAAAATGGAACTCGTTCCTTAAAAATCTCGCGATCGTGGTGGCAAACCGGGTGACGAGCGGATGCGGGCCTGTCAGAGCACCTTCCGGCGGAGCCGCTGGTGACACTGCTGTATACGGAGCCAAGAAATGCTGAATTATACCTGTCATTCATGCGGCTATCCGTGTGATTGTGTAGGGGGCGCACCTGTCTCACCCAGCGGTTATGCAGTGGTTGTCATGATCAGGTGGCTTCTCAGCACATGATTACGCGGCCGCGGCTGCTGGCAACTCCAGAAAGGCAGCAGCAGGCTTGCATGCTGACCAGTGTTGCACCGCCAGGTGGTTGCATGATTGTCAGATTCGCCCCCTTTCCTCAACCCAACACTAGTACACCGGCGGCATCGCACGCAGGTTGCGATCGCACACAACCCCCGCCATGTGCAACACACCCTCGACTGTCAGCAGCAGCTGATAAGCTTTCAGGACAGAAAATTACAACGATGTATGATGAATCGAGATCCAATTTGAGGGAAGTGGAGCCGTCATCTGTTGCTGGTACGATCGTCTGCGCGCATCACAGCGCGCGTCCAGGAAGGATGGTCCCTGGGGTTGGTTGCACGACGCACGGACGCTGTCAACAGCAGGAGCCTTCAGCCGATGCGGCTTAGCAATCGCATCACGCGCCGTGCAAGGCCCGGGCTATCAAGCGCCGTGGTGCCACGAAATTCTCAACGCCGCCCTCTTACCTTGGTGTCCCACACCGCACGGTGCGTGCCCAGGCAAATTTACACTTGGACTCCAGACTGTCGACTCCGCCTGCTTGCAGCGATCCAGCAACTTGCACCAATTGGCTCGGGCAATCTGGGGCCGCCCTCCGCCTGCTGCGCCCTCACGCGGCGCCGCCGTGGCCGTCTCCTGCATTTCTGGGCCCCACCCTGACATCCCCCAGGTCCTGCACCCCCATGCGCGCCGCCACCGCCCAGGGCAGCACGGGGCGCTCCTCGCAGCCTGCATACAGCGCAAGGCGGGGGGGAGATGCAAGCGTGCGTGCGTGTTGGCGGGGAGCGAAGCGCCTGAGCTGCAAGACAAATGGCGCAGCCAGGTTTCAAGTATGAGAAGATCGGCGGCAGAGGCATACCGTTGGTGAGAAATACCGCAAACACACTCCAACTGCAATGCATGTCAACAACATACACGCAGCCTGCGCCGGTCACCGATGAAGCGTGCGTACGCCGCGGCTCCCGCCGCCACGGCCTGGCGGGACCACCCCAGGTCGCCCGCGGCGCGCAGGTGGAGGGCCAGCCACGAGACGTAGGCGTCCGCCTTGACGCCAGCAGGGACGCGGCGCAGCGCCGCCTCCACGGGCGCCTGAAGGGCGGCGAGCTCGCGCAGGCGCACGGCGCTGAAGGAGGGGACGGCGCCCCCGGCGCCGGCGGAGAGCGTGGTCGCCAGCGCCGCAAGGCGCGCCTGCTGCTCCTCCAAGGGGGCCGCGCGGCCCCACTGCGGCTGGGGCGCGGGCTGCTGCTGGCGCACCGTGCCGGTGCTGCTGCCCCGGGCTGCCTTCGTGCGCGCCGCCAGTGCCTCGGCCTCATGCTCCGGCAGGAGCAGCACCCGCGCCGGCGCAGCGGGTGCGCCGCTGCTTGCGCCACCCCTGTTGCCCTGGGCGCCAAAAGGACCCCAGATTGCTAAGGCGACGCGTCCGCCCCCTGAACGCTCCTGCTCCTGCTGCTGCTGCACCAGCGCATCCGCAACCTGCGCCACTGCGCCGAACCGCAGCCCGACCTTGACGTGGAGGCTAATGCCGCCTGCGGCGCCGCTCGCTTGAGCGACAAGCGCATCTGCCAGCTGCGGCGTGGCCAGCAGCACCGCCGTCCGCTGCGCATGGAAGTTCTCGACAACAGCCCTGAACACGGGTCAGCATGCGGCGTGTTGGAGGTGCGACAAAACCCATGAGAATAAACACGGATCCCGTCGCTTTGTGACGCGCGCCCCTGGTGCCAGACACCTTTGCACTGCCGCATCCTCGTCCATGCGCCGCCGCTTGCTTCTGTTTCAGCATTGAATTTGCAGTCCTGGTGCCCTCACCGTCGGTACGACTGGGTCTTGCGGCTGTGGAGCTCCATGGCAGGCAGCTTCAGCAGCAGCCTGAACAGCCGCGAGCACAGCTGCGCCTCCCTGGCACACCTGCAGGCGCCAGGCCGCAGGGGCGAGCGGTTACGGGGGGGAGTGTGCAGGGGTTGAGGTCCACTCGAGCAATGTCCAGCCACGCCGCTTGAAGGTCAGGTGGCACGGCGGGCATCGCAACAAGGATGCGGCAGGCTGTGGGTAGCCGGTCAGCCCGAGCCTGACGGCGGCCGCCGTGCCGGCGGCGTGACGGCGGCCGCCGTGCCGGCGGCGTGGCGCACGCTCTCCTTGTTTG